TCTCTTTCTTGGCTTCCCCAACAGACCTCACCCCTTCTGGGTTTTTCGCTTCTCTATTGGCCTTCCTTCTCAGCCTCCTTTCCTGGCTCCAGCTCTTCCTCTCAACTTTTCAATGGTGGAGTGGCTCGAGACGCTCTGGTTGTTCTCTCTCATTGTTATTGTTGAAGTATAATTGACCTACAGCGTTGTGTTAGGTTCAGGTGTACAACATCGTGATTGCACAATTCTCTGCATTACGCAGTGTGCACCTTGGTAAGTGGAGTCACCATCTGTCGTTATTACCAGTTTATTGACTATATTCCCTGCGCTGTACTTTCAGCTCCGTACCTCATTTCTGGTTGTTTTCTCTTGATCTGCATGCTTTCTCGGTGATGATAGCATTAGGTCCCGTGGCTGAGAAACATCTTCCCCATGCAGATGACTCCTGAGCTGGAATCTTCAGAAGAACTCGCCCGTAAGCCCCAGGCTCCCGCATCCCGCGGCTAATAGCAGGCCTCCGGGATGTCGGATGGTATCTCGAACTCATCAAACATAGAGTTTTGACTTCTCTTCCAACCACAGTGGATGACTCTATACTCAAACAGGCCAAGGCCATTTGCAGTGCTGGGCCCGTGGTGCTTGTGGTTTTCTCTGCCTGGAAATTTCATGTCCCCGATAACTCACTTATGGGCTCCTTCTCTACTGTTTAATTGTCAGATCCCATATCCCCTTCTGAGAGGACTTCTGGTCACACGGCCTAAGGTAGCCTCCTAATTCTCCCAGTTGTTTACCCTGTTTTAATTCTCTGCATGCTGTTTATTTTCTGGTATTTCCTGATTTTTATTTGAACTGGTGTGTCTCACCCCCTGGAAGGCAAGCGCCAGGAGGGGCCTGTGTGTGTCTTGGCCACTGCTGTGTCCCCAGAGCCCGACACAGGCCTGAGCCTCTGGGTGCTCTGCGAGTATTTGGTGAGTGACCTCATGAAGCCACACAGCTTCTTTTGTCCTCATGCTCAACTCCTGAGAGGGACTCATTAGGAAGTGGGAATTTTGCCGATTTTTCAAGACTAAAAAATTGATTGCTGAATTAAAAGAAAATCCTTAATCTATACTGTTTCAGAAGAAACAGAAAACTTTGTCTTTTTTTTAATCAAATGAGCGATTAAAAACTCAGTTACCCACCGCCCCCCAACCCCACACTCTTGTCGATCCATTTAAATGGCAGCAAAGGACTGAAAACCTTGTAAAGCACAAGGAGATAGAAAATGAGAAGAGAGAACAGATAACATGAGAACAAGGGGGTAGTGGAAGGGGAGGTGGGCGGGGGGTGGGGGTAACTGGGTGATGGGCACTGGGGGCACTTGACGGGATGAGCACTGGGTGTTACACTATATGTTGGCAAATCAAAGTCCAATTAAAAAATATACAAAAAAAAGAAATTGAAAGAAACAACAACAAAAAGAGAACATATAAGAAAATGTTTGCCAAAGTTTGGAGGGTGGAAGACAGAGTGGTAAGAGTGGGGGGTTTGGGGGGGGCACCTGCAGGAAGAGGGTAGTTCACTCTGGATTCCTCGCGGGCTCAGGACCAGAGGCATCAGGGCCTGTGAAGAGGGGAGCTTGGGTTGGCGACCAGTATCTCTGTGGGATGGCTGGGCCCTCATGTCCCCTTCTCCATCCATTTCTTCTAGGCCTCCCTCCCTCCGAGCAGGAGGAGATGGGGAGAAGCAGAGGCTCAGAACTCAGTGTGTTAGGCCGAGCAGAGAGAGCGGGCGAGGGATGGGTGAGAAGCAGGAGGATTAAGGACAGGTCTTACTTTTAGCAGCGAGGACCTGCAGCCGGGGGTTGCCTCTGGGATGTCAAGGGCCAGCCAATATTTTTGCAGGGTGTCTTCATTTATAAAAAATTATCAGTTTGAGCCACAGGAAATCAGCCTGTTATCTCTTTTCTGGTGATGCAATCTCATGATCATGCGATAAACATATGGTGCTGCCTGGCAGGGTTCATCTGCTTGCTAGCCACCCTGCTGGAACCATGGCCTAGCCATTCAGCTCCAGGATGATTCCAGAAATATGAGCTTCTGGGGCCATGTGGTTAACCCCTTTCATGAAGGAGACAGTCAGAGAGCACCCTGAGGGGGAGAAACAAGAGACTAGGGCTCATGCAGGACCTGCTCTGGACTTAGGATGGTACCCTACCCGGATACCTCTGCTGCCACTGCCAACCCCGGGAGGACTCTTTGTGGCCATTCCTGAAGGACACCTGACAGGGATGTTTGCAGAGAAGGCATCTCAAAGCATGGTGTTCCCGTGAAGTGTGGGGCACAAGCCAGGGATTCTGCTTGCTAGGGTCTCGGGGCTGTCCTGTCTGCAGCCTGCCTCCCCAACAGACAGGTGGTTTGCTGGTGCTCAGACTTCACCCAGGTGGGATGGAGGAGAAGACCCATATAGTCTCAGACAAAGGGCCTCTAGATACTTCCACTTGAGTGTTCCTCGGTGAAATGGCTGATCCCTCATCCAGTCATCCTAGAGTGAAGCCCAACTCCCTAGGAAGTCCTGTCTACACCCTTGAGTCTTCAGATAGTTATTTTCTCTCTTGAATATGGACAGCCAGGAAACATCAGATATCTGAGGAAAGCCTCCAACATCAGTAACAGGCACCACAAAAAACCATATTTTAAAGAAAACAAAAAGCAAAAAACGGAGGACGTAGATCTAAATCAGAATATAGGGAGGAGGAAAGCTCTAAAATTCTAAGCGATGAAACGTCACACTCTTGAAACCAGGTCAGGGTGCAATGAAGCAAAAAGGAACAACCAGAGAGAGATAAGGAGGAGGGCTTGGGAATGACAAATGCAATGCTGAAAAACAAAACAAAGCAAAACAAAACAAAACATAGCAACGGATTTAGACAATAAAATCAGTGAAATCAACCAGGAAATAGAACAGGAGAGAGAAAATAAGAGAGGAGTGATAAACCTCCTAGAGGATCAAGTCAAGGAGTCCAGCATTTGACAAACAGGAATTCTAGAAAGAAAAACAACGAGAGGAGAAAAAATTGTCCAAGAAATTGTAAGCCAAGGTGTATTAGACTGGAAAGATCCGACACTTCAGGCGGAAAGCTCCCTGAGTGCCTAGTACAATCCATGAAAGAAAATCCCCACCACGGCACACCATTTAACAATGTTCAGAACACCTGCAATAAAGAGAAAAATTAATGTCTCATGCAGGAGGTTGAGAATCTGAATGGCAGCACTGGGTGCTGGGAAGTCACGTCTTCCAAACTGTGCTTTAGGAAAGTGATTTTTAATTAAATTCTATGCTCTGCTAAATTGGCAGCTGTATCTGAGGGCAGCAGATAGATGTTTTCAGACAAGACTCAGAGAGTGTCTCTCTGTGCATCTGTACCTGAAAAGTCCTGCAAGTTATGCTGCTGCAAAATGACAAAGTGACCAAACCCCCCCCCCCCAAAACCCCAAACCAAACCAACCAACCAACAAAAACATGGAACAGGGAAACGAGGGCTTCAACTCAGGGAGGGCTGAGAAATGAGTGCCCCGTGGACGATGGACAGGAGCCCCGGGTAGCAACCAGCTGAGATGGCGGGAAGAAGGAAGGCTGGCATCTGGGGACAGCGGCAACCCTGGAAAAAAGATAAGTGCTGTTGAGCTGCTGTAATAATAAGCACAGAGAAATTTTACTACTGATCGTAGAGAAGTTTGGGAAAATTCAATATTCAACTTCAAAATAAAACAATTGCGAACCCAGGAAGGAAAAAGCCATCGTACTACCCTATTTTACCAAATGTAAGATGCCATATGAGTTAAGCGCTTGCTTGTGAATCATTATTTTAGAAATTAAATCCCATTGCCTATTAAAAAAGGAACTTGTAAGTTGTGAGAGACACCCACGTTTCGGAGGTTATGTTAGGAAGTTACAAAATGTACTTCTTATAATTGGTGAACACAGCCCCCTGACCTGGCTTTGTGGTGAGCCATCGTCACCCTGGTCATTGATCTCACCACACATTGTGACGTTGACGTCATAAGGACGAGGAGAGGAAACGTCTGGGCGTGTACCTGTGCGGGAGACAGGTAAATAGGAAATCCGTACCCAAAAAAGAAAGGCAGTAGTTGAATGTCTAGAATCGATCAATCGAAAAATTAGCTGCGTGATTCAGGCCAGAGATGTCACCACCGAAGGAGCAACTAAGATCACTGAGCACGTGGCCTCCGGGCACCGGGTGAGGGTGACGTAGGTTGGGGTGAAGCAGTTTAGAAAAATTGCTAGTTTTGAAAACGAGCCTTTGGCATTTATTTTTTATTTATTATTATTTTTTTGAGCCGTTGGCATTTAATGCACGTTTGACAAGCGCCGGTTACTTTGTGAACAAAGGTAGATGAACACACACACACACACACACACACACACACACACACACACGACAGCCTCCTTGGAGCCTGAAAGTGGAGATGTGGGGCCCCCAAACCTGCTTGTCCTTGAAATACCTTATGCAGACACAAGGCTAAGACATGATCATAACCTGCTTCATTGGCCTCCAGGACGAAAGGTACCCGGCCCTCCCCCTCCCAGGGGGCAAGTGTGGCCAAGGATGGCCCAGCGTCCGCTTATCTTTGCAAAAAGGTTTAGAATCTATAGATTGCTCCATGTATAGATATATTTTTAAGATTTATTTCTTTATTTTAGGGTGGGAAGGGCAGAGGGAGAGGGCAAGAATCCCAAGCAGATGCCCCGCCACCCAGTGGGGAGCCCAACACAAGGCCTGGTCTTGCCACCCTGAGATCATGACCTGAGCTGAGACCAAGAGCCAGCAGCTTAAGCCACAGAGCCGGGGACCCCCGTGCCCTGATCTGCGAGCCGACCCGCTTGGTCCTAGCTGGAGCCTTGGCTAGGCCTGACTGCGGCCCTTCCACGGGCGGCCCCCACGCCCGCCACCCCACTGCCCACCCACAGAGGCGCTTCTCTCTCCCCACCTCACGGCGTTTGTCCCCGTGGTATTTTAGAGGAAAGAGGAAGAGGAGAGGAAGCGAGGGGAAGAGCAGATTCGCCTCCAGGAGGAGCAGAGGGCCAAGGAGCTCTACTGGACCCTGAAGCAGGCCCAGCTGCAGAGTGGCACCAGTGAGCGCGAGGAGCGCGAGTGGGAGGAACAGCGTGAGTAGAACAGCCTGCCTCCCCCCTCCCCTCACCCCCCATCCACCTGCTGGCGTCACCCCTTCACCCATCCAGCCGCCAAGCGTCCCCCCAGGATGGCCTGCCTGGGCCCTGCTAGGCTCCTCCCTCCAGGGCCTCCAGGCCTCCAGAGGAGATTCCTTCCTTCCTTCTTCTTCCTTCCTTCCTTCCTTCCTTCCTTCCTTCCTTCCTTCCTTCCTTCCTTCCTTCCTTCCTTCCTTTTTCTTCTTCTTCTTCTTCTTCTTCTTCTTCTTCTTCTTCTTCTTCCTTCCTTCTTCCTTCCTTCCTTCCTTCCTTCCTTCCTTCCTTCCTTCCTTCCTTCCTTCCTTCCTTCCTCCCTCTTTCTTTCCAGGTTATTTATTCATTTATTTGAGAGAGAGAGAGAGAGAGAGCGATCATGAGCTGGGGGAGAAGCAGGTGGAGAGGGAGTGGCAGGCTCCCTGCCAAGCAAAGAGTCCAACGTGGGGCTCGACCCCAGGACCCCCTGGATCATGACCTGCGCTGAAGGCAGACACTTAAGCGCTTGAGCCACCTGGATGCCCGAAGAGGAAATTTCTTACACTAAAACAGAAAACCCTGTGTTTACTGAGTTACCAATACTCTGCTGGCTCGGTGCTAAGCCCTGGGCACCCAGAAATGGAGCATCATGGTGCGTGTGTTGGAGGAGCTCACGGGCCGGGTGAGAGACAGCCACGCGGGCTGCTACTGGCTTTGAGGGAGACAGGGCCTCGCACTGTCGGAGCACAGAGAGGCCATCCCCGTGGGCTTCCAGGGCACAGCATTACGAAGGGAAGCGTGGTGGGCTCTCAGGAACAAGTGAGGCCAAGAGGCAGGACAGGGAGAGGGTGCTTGAGACAGAGGCCTCGGCAGCGTGAGGGCTTGGTGACAGGAGGTGGTGTGCTTAGGGAGGTGGCTATGGGTGGGGTGGGCTCCAAAGCTTGGAGAGTGTAGGAGGAGAAAAGGTAGATGGGAAAGGGGAAAGTGGAAGCAAGATTTGAAGGGTGGGGTTTCCACGTGTGCTCGGGGTTCATTTGAATCAGGTATGGTAACACCTGGATCCTATGGATAATGTGGAAATGATGACCTGGCCCCAAGAAGTTTTTACCCCCCTCCCCGCCCCAGGAGTAGGGCATGTACCATACAGGGCTCCACAGGGAAGCATCAGGGCAATCAGGAGGCAGAGGGAGCCAGAGGCAATGCGGGCAGGAGCCTTTCTCATGGTGTGCCTGGGACAGGTGAGGCCAGGCAGGGTGAGCAGTTTTAGGATTGGCTGATTTGAATAATGCCTGCAGGCTCTGGGGCACAGGGGAGGGGGGGTGTCTCCAGTGGCCTGGAGCCCAGCCCTGGTGTGCACCAGAGAGCAAGAGCTAGAGAGAGAGGGAAGGATTGGAATATTTTGGATTGGCTGGCTTGCACATGAATGGGTGGTGAGTCTTTTAGTATCTTTAGGAATCGGCCAACCCTGGGAGGGCGAGGCTCTCTGGGCTCAGCAAAGCCCCCGAGGTCAAAACATCAAAACATAGAGAAAATAAGAAGGCATGGTTCACGCAGGTGGGCAGTGGGAGACCTGTAAAGGTGGGCTTGGGGGGTGAGAGAGGAGGAGGTGCCAAGAGGTGATGGGAGCCAGAGCCGCAGGAGGGGGAGTGCAGATGCCGGGTGACTTCTACTCACCCCCCCTCTGGTCCTCAGCCTTTCTCAACCATGTGCCAGACTTAAAAAAAAATTGGAAATGAAATTAATATGACATAAAATCCACCCTTTTAAAGTGTACAGCGTAGTGGCTTTTAGGATACTCACCACATTGCAACCATCACCACTACTAGTTCCAGAGATTTCCTTGTCACAAAGAGAAGTTCTAGACCCATTGATCATTTCTTCTCCCGCCATGCCTCTGCAAGCCGTTAATCTAATTCCCGTCCCTATGGATTTGCCCATAATGGATATTTCATATAAATAGAATCATACATTATGTAGCCTTCCATTTAGCAATGCTTTCAAGGTCCATCCGCATTGTAGCGTGTGTCAGGATTTCACTCCTTTTTACGGCTGAATAAAATTCTAATGTAGGCATGTGCCACCATTTTTGTTTATCCATTCATTAGTTAATGGACCTTTGGGTTGTTTCCACTTTTGGGCTATTATGAATAATGTTCCTCTGAGCATTGTTTTCTTTTCTTTTCTTTTTTTTTTTTTGTTGGTTCTTGAATGTGTATTTTTTACTGAAAAAAATCATTCATAAATTAACAGAAATGTACAAACACCTGAGTAAATATCCAGGTAGTGGCATTTACTATTTTTTGTAAATAGGTTTTTTAAAGTGTTTTTAAAACATCTTTAGATTTCAGTGCAGAAATATGCCCCTGGAACCTCTTAAAACATAAGAGCAAGCTCAAAAAAAAAGTGGTGATGGATGGGAGCTAGCTCTGTTCAACACCGTCATCAATGGTACTGGACACAATCAGGACAGGTAGCTATTGTTCAGCGATTGATGTCTGTGGTAGAGGAACCCCAACAAAAGAGTCCCTGTAATGTGAGCACTGGTGTGTTTTTGTGTGAACATGTAACTGTCAGTTCTCTTGGATATATAACTAGGAGTGGAATTTCTAGGCCATATGGTAACTCATGTTTAACTGTTGAGCAGCTGCCATATTGTCTTCCAGAGCAACTGTACCGTTTTACATCTCTACAGGCAATATATGAGGGCTCCAGTTTCTTCCCATTCTTGCCAATGCTTGGTGTCTTTTGTCTTTTGATTATAGACGTCCTAACAGGGCTGAGAGGTTGTCTCATTGTGGTTTTGATTCGCATTGCCCTGGTGATTAATGATGTTGAGCCCTTTTTCACGTACCTATTGGCCATCCGTACATCTTTTTTTTAAATTTTTTATTTATTTATGATAGTCACACACAGAGAGAGAGAGAAAGAGGCAGAGACATAGGCAGAGGGAGAAGCAGGCTCCATGCACCGGGAGCCCGACGTGGGATTCGATCCTGTGTCTCCAGGATCGTGCCCTGGGCCAAAGGCAGGCGCTAAACCGCTGCGCCACCCAGGGATCCCCTCATCCGTACATCTTTTTGAAAAAAATATCTATATGGGTCCTTTGCCCATTTTTAAATTGGGCTGTTTCTGGCTATTGAGTTGTATGGATTCCTGTATATTTTGGACATTAACCCTGTAGTGGATATATGGTTTACAAATATTTCTCCTATTCCACAGGTTGCCTTTTCATTTTGTTGATGATTTCCTTTGCTGCGCAGATTTTTAATTTGACGTAATCCCACCTGTTAACTTTTGGTTTTGGTGTCATATCCAAAAAAAACATCGCCAAGGCCAACGTTCAAGGAGCTTTTTTCCTATGTGTTTTTTTTTTTTCAGGTGTTTTACAGTTTCAGGTCTTACATTTAAGTATGTAATCCATTTTGAGTTGATTTTTGTATTTGCCAGGAGATAAGGGTCCAATTTCATTCTTTTGCATGGGGCTATCTAGTTTTCCCAGCACCATTTATTGGAGAGATTATCTTTCCCCATTGTGTATTCTTGGCGCCTTTGCTGAAGATTAGTTGACTGTATATTTCTGAGCTCTATATTCTTTCCCATTGGTCTATGTGTCTGTTTTTATGCCAGTACCATCCTGTTTTGGCTATTATAGCTTTGTAATATGGTTTGAAATCAGGAAGTGAGATGCTTCTAACTTTGTTCTTCTTACTCAAGATTCCTTTAGCTATTCAGAATCTTTTGAGGGTCAATACAAATTTTAGGATTGTTATTTTTTTTTATTTCTGTGAAAAATACCATTGGAATTTTAATAGAGATTGCATTGAATCTTTGAGTAGTATGCATATTTTAATAATACAAATTCTTCTAATCTATGCACTGGATCTCTGCCAAAACGCTGAGAAGTGATAAATCCTTCTAATCTATGAATGCAGGATATCTCCCTTTATTTGTGTCTTCTTTAATTTTTTTTTTATCCATGTCTTAGAGTTTTTAGTGTCCTGGTCTTTCTTCTCCTTGGTTAAATTTATTTATTTATAAATTTATTTATAAATTTATAATAATTATAAATAAATAAATTTAGAATAATAGAAATTTAATAGAATAAATTTTATTCTATTTCTGTATTTTATTCTTTTTTTTCCTTTCCAAGTTTTTATTTAAATTCCAGTTAGTTAACATACAGTGTAATATTAGTTTCAGGTGTAGAATTTAGTGATTCATCACTTACGTGCAACACCCGATGCTCATCACAAGTGCCCTTGCTAATGCCCCTCACCTTGCTCAGCTGCTCAGTCTCTTCATTTGTAAAATGGGGGTAACCATGTTGAGTGGAGGTGTGTTGGGAGGATAAAGTGAGAGGGACGAAATGTCACCCAACCTGATGCTATTGTGAATGGGGTTGTTGTACTAATTTCTTTTTTTGGATATTCGTCATTACCGCATAGAAATACAACTGATGTTTGTATGTTGATTTTGTATTTGTTGAATTTATTTATTCTAACAATTTTGGGGTGAAATATTTAGGGTTATCTGTATGTAGGATCATGCCACCTACAAACAGATGATTTTACTTCTTCTTTTCTGATTTGGATGCCTTTTACTATTTTTTTTCTTGCTTAATTATTCTGGTTAGGACGTCCAGTATCATAGTGAATAAAAGTGGTGACAGTGCACTTTCTTATCTTGCTCCTGCTCTTAGAGCAAAAGCTTTCAACCTTATACTGTTGTGTGTGATGTTGGCTATGGGATTGTCATATATGGCTCTATTATGAGGTACATTCTTTCTATACCTGACTTGTTGAGAGCATTTATCATGAAAAGATGCTGATTTTTGTCAAATGCTTTATTTCCATCTATTGATAGGATCATATGATTTTTCTTCTTTTTGTTAATGTGGCATATCATCATTCCTGATTTGTGGTGCTGAGCCATTCTGGCATCCCAGGAACCAATCCCACGTGATCATGGTGTATATAGAGCATTTG